AATTTAGAATATTTCTTGCCACAAAACTTACTTTAGATATTTATTGCGAATATGCTAAGTATTTAATAAAGGCCTTATTCATAGTTAATACCGTTACTATAATCAAAATCGTAAAAACAACCTTGTATTTAGCGTATATTGAAACACTTAATCGATTTCGAGGGCAGCTAAAGGTCCCTCCTCATCAGGAGAAAGAAATACCTAGGTATTTCGCTAAATACAAGGTTGTTTTTACACTTTTGATTGTCACATTAGCGTGTTTCTCTTCTAGTCTACCATTACTATAAGTTGCACTTCACACATTTATTAAGCAGGATTGTTTCAAATAAAATATTATGCCATTTTCTACAGGCAAATTTCATCCTGAGTCATTTAATAACTTTTATGCTCATTTTATCCTGAAGCTACGGAAATAGTTTGGGAAGGTGCATCCACTTGTAAAATATGTAATATGTTTTAACTATTTATTAAAAACATGGATTATATTCCGTGTACCGAAAAGTTTTGTCCATTTTTGGAGTAAAACAAAATATAAATTTTTCTTACCGTCAATGAACTTTATTAAATAATATAATTGCCATTATTGTTAATGACTTCTTGCCAACGTGAGAGCAATTTGTATAATCCATTTTTGAAAAAAGTTGTATCTTTTGATGCGAAAAATTGAACTAGTGCTTGTTTGATATCTTCTTCATTTTTGCCCTTCAAAAAATTTTGTAAGAGCAAAAACAAATGATAAACAGAGGGTGCTAAGTCCGGGGAATATGGTGGATGCGACAGAACTTCCCAGCCTAGTTCTGTAATTTTTTAACGAGTCCCCAAAACAGCACGTGGCCTGGCATTATCATGACGCAGTATATTGTCCTTCCTATTGAACGTTGCCGACCTCTTTTCTTGGACTGTTGTCTTTAAACTATCCAGTTGCTGACAATACTTCTTCGAATTGAGCTTTTCATTCAGTTTTGAAAGCTCATAATGTATTTGTCCTCAAATGTCTCACCATATACACAACATTCTCCTTATTCAGAGTCAAATTTGGTTTAGAGGTGGAAGGGCTAGGTTTTCCGGGTTCCCTTTTCCTTACGATGTTTTCGTAGATAATCCACTTTACATCACCAGTTATCATCCAGTTCAAGAAGGGATCGATTTTGTTCCAAGCAAGCAGAGATGTGCTTATGAGGACTCGATCATCCAAATTCTTCTGACATAATTCATGTGGCACCCATCTTCAATATTTCCACACCAATCCTGTCTTCTGAATATGGTCCAGAATGGTTTGATGAACTGTCTTTCTGCAATCTTCAATTTTATCAAAAAAGGATTTTACTCTAACATAGTCTTAACAACATCGTCGTCGTTCAAAGATGGTCACCCAGATCGTGGGTTATTTGAAAAGTCGAAATCACCTGTTTCAAATTTTCCGAGCCATCTTCAGCATGTCTTATCAGAAACTATACCTTCACCAAACACTTTTGATAAATTTCTACATGCTTTTGTAGCATTTCTCCCTTGTTGAAATTCACATAAAATACAGTGGCGTAAATGAACTTTATCAGTAGCCATGGGTACATTATCACTTCACACTTAAGACTAATGTGAACCAACTTTGTTTTAGTTAATTTGCTAAGTCAGTATGCATACATTAAGTGATAAAAAAATACAGCTGAACATGTACTTAAGTGTCGAAAATTGTTGCCGTAGAAACGAACAGAACTTTCTGGTAGACCAAATATTTAATAAAGCCCTATTTTATAGTTAATATCATAACTTCAATTTAGAATTCACTCAATAGTTATGCAAGATGATCTTGCATGGAACATAAGGCCATTTTTTTGCATTCAACATCCACCAGTAGCTGAGTGGTAAGATCACTCATATTATTAGTTCGAGCATGGTTTAAATCTTGATGAATAAAGGCTGGCTGGATAGCCCTTTTCATGGTTTTCCCCACTGTAATATGAATACCAGAAAGTTTCCCTTAGAAATTTCTCAACAAAGCACCTTTCTCATTAGGCAGATAGCATTTGTGTGCTTTGCCATAATTCATATAAGCTAATCTTCTGGAACAGTCATCTGCAGGCACTTAATAATGCTTATTTTACCTGAAGCTTTCAAAAATAAAACTTACAGGTGCATTCATTTGTAAGTAAATAATGTTTAACTATTTATTGAAAATATGTGTTGTATTCAATAATAAACTAATTTACAGCTAGGACTATTGCTAACAATTTTAATACATGTAACAAATAGTATAATTATGGACCACAGTAACTTCTCTACTAGCTTTGGCAAACAGGGATTCAGTTGTATAAGTTTATGAAAATTAATTTAGCCTGTTATGGAGTCCTTTACAAAAATGGGAAGACTAAATGAAGCTTTCGTAAATTATGCCTTATATATTAAAAAAAAAGACCATTTCCCTTAACAAAACCTCCACAAAGGCACTCTTTTCCATAGGCATACAGTCTTTGCTTGCTTTCCCTTAAAATCGAATAATTCAAATCCACATATCTTTCGAAACATCATAGACACATATTTATTTAACAATTGTTATGGATATTTAGTTCTACATGAAAGAGCCAAAATTAGTTCCTGTAAATAAATTCCTCTTTAATTATATTTCTTTTATATATTTACTCAAAATATATTTAGTTCTTAACAAAGGATTAGTTCATAATTTATTTTGTTATTACATGCAGAATTAATAGCAGATAGAAAATACTAATAATTATCTTATAGGTGATTATCCTTTATTACATAACAACTTATTATCCAAAATGGTAAACCATTTGAGTAATGGATATATTGTCATGTATGGCTGTGTAAATGAAATTATTACAGGCAATCACTTTCCTAATTAAGTATTTATAATTACAACGTAACTATAACTGGATTATATAACTGAAATTACACTGTAATTGTAATTAGATTTCACAATTTACAAAGTAATTGCATTATCTAATTAAAATGTAATTGCAATTACAAACACCAATTACACATTTTCCCAACTCTGCTATGAACTATATGCTAAAAACCAGATTATGATATGGGAACATCTAGGATTGGCAATGTAGAAGAAATTCAAGACTGTCATCTGTGTCAAAGAAATCTTTAACTATTTTTAAGGAATTAAAAATATCTAGACTGTAAGACTACCTGGGAATGAAGTGTATTAGTACACTTCAGTATTAGTACAAACAGTACAAAGTACACTGATTTGCTGTCCAACAAATTTACACCAGGCCTATTATGAAAGAAAGTTCTGTTGAATGACAATGCATGTCCACACTACCCTATGACCACTGACCATTTGGGTTGGAAGTACTGGCAAAACTTACCCATAGTCTCTATTATCCTTTTGATTTTCACCTGTCTATTGCTCTTTCTGATTTTCACCTTTTTGAACCATAGAGATGATTTGCAAGGTAAAGGACTGTAAGACCCAGGTAGACTGTAAGTCCCAGGTAGACTGTAAGACTACCTGGGAATGAAGTGTATTAGTACACTTCAGTATTAGTACAAACAGTACAAAGTACACTGATTTGCTGTCCAACAAATTTACACCAGGCCTATTATGAAAGAAAGTTCTGTTGAATGACAATGCATGTCCACACATACCCTATGACCACTGACCATTTGGGTTTGGAAGTACTGGCAAAACTTACCCATAGTCTCTATTGCTCCTTTTGATTTTCACCTGTCTATTGCTCTTTCTGATTTTCACCTTTTTGAACCACAGAGATGATTTGCAAGGTAAAGGATTTTCGTAGGACAAAGAAGTGCATGAAATGTGTACAAATGGTTGTATGACCAACTGAAAGTCCTTTTCTTGGACAGAAGGCTGTGTCCATAAAGTTGTTCAAGAACGACTGAAACTGACTGCGTATAAATTGCAGACTTGTCAACAAATCAAACTTCATCGTTCATACGGAATTTTCTGCAGACATACTTGTCTATATCAGTAATGATGATCAGTTTTTCAGAAACCCATATTCAGTGACGAAGTAACATATTTCAGAAGATGTTAATCAATACAATTGCAGAATTTGGGGGACAGAAAACTCATATTACACAAGAGAATTTAAATGAGCTAACCCTAAAGTAAATGTTTCATGTGTACTAACTGATAACAAAGCAAACGGTTCCTCCATTTTTCTCAGAGTTTTCAATTAATTTGTGGTTTTACTTTGATATGCCAAAAATTGTTTGCTGTACCACAATTGGAAGAAATGCAGTGAAACTTTTTTTTTCCTAACAAGATGGGGCCACGTCACTGAGCTACACATGTGCATGATATCCTTGATGAAACATTCCTAGATTGTTGGATTGGTAGAGCAGGCCGATTTTATAGTCTACCCATTCTCTGGATGTTACACCATGACTTATATTTCTGGGGATACCTGAGGAGCTGAGTTGATGCTGTAGAGATTGACAGCATTGAAGAATTAAAAAAAAATCAAGTCACCAGAGAAGCAGCTATTATAACTCTGCAAAATAACATCTAAAAAAGAAAACTGAGAACAGACTCGACATTCATCAAGCAAATAATGATACTCATGTTGAAGTGTATTAATAAAAAAATATTTGAAATGCTAAATAAATTTCAATTAGTTTTTCTGAATTATTTAAAATTTATTCTTCTTCTGAATTATTTAAAACATCTTTATTCAATCAGTAAATTATGGACACCCAGTATATTAAAAAAATTTGTGCACTGAAATATGGCTAAATCATGAAAAACTTATAATATTCACCAATTTCTTTTTATAACAGACTCAAAATATACAGTTCATCAATATTTTTATGTAAAGAAAAACAAATATTCAAGAAATAAAATAATTTATTCATTTAAAACAAATTTATATATAACAGCAACTTTCTGTTAAATATTAACTTTTTTTAAACCTATAAACATAACAACCTAAGATCTAAAAAGCTTTCTACATTTAATCTAAAACTGTTAACAACTGTTTCATTACTTACATTTGTACAAAAGCTAAATAAATATCATGCTACTTGAATTAATAAAATGCAAAAAAAGATATTACACAAATTAATTAGAAGATGAGGACATCAACCAAGTCATTAAAAAATTTTCAACAAGCATATCAGATTAATGAAATCAAAAAAATATAAATAGTTTAAAGATTGTTGAAAATTCATAGCAATTATAAAACAGATGCAGCTATATAATGATCTAAAAGTAGCATAGTGTTGTTGCATTTCATAATAATTTAGCAACCATATTAGTGATTTTTAGATTAAAATGTATCAGGTTCTTCACAATTTAATGTCCAGTGCCCAAACATTTCACAATTATTACAATATGGACGTTCTTCCAATTTTCGACTTCCTGCAGGCCTTAACTGTGGAACAGCTTCTTCAATGAAAGACTCTTGCTTTGGGCAGTCATCAGTATCATGGATATCGAACATATCACAGATATCACAAAACAATCTTGGAGGTAATTTCTTGGTTTCATTGCTATTAAAGAAATTATTATCATATAAAAATACAAGCAACTCTAAAATATGCAATAAAAACTTTACTATATAATTACATAACAAGCACTGCAGAAAACAGCAATAAAAAATTTAAGCATATTTATTAAGTACTGCAGAAAATAGACCATGCATTTTAATGAACATATTTATTCATTACTGTGCTTCATTCGCATTTTCTAAAAGAGAAATTAAGTAAATGTCAACTGAGCAACAAAAGGCATAACTTTAAGCAAAATTTTCAACACGCCCCCCCAAAAAAAACATTAATGGAATAAAAATTTACTGTCATTATTTAGGATCATTTAAAAATGAAATAATTTCATTTATTATAAAAAAATTAAATGACACATATATACAAATGGGACAAACATAACATTTGAAATTAGGCAAAAAAGCACCCTTATTTTTGGCATAATTTTGAATAAAATTCTATCAATTTCAAGGGTGATCAGACTCAAACCCCTGTTGATCATGAGCAAAAACATTTTGAAAGATTTTTTTTTCTTTTTTTGCCTAATTTCTTACATATTCATTAGTTTTATTATTTCAAGCTAGATTTTATTTACCAACACATAAGATTGTTTTTTTCATTTAACAATAAATATACAAAAATAATTAAAGAAATATGAATGTAAAATTAAATTGAATGTTGACTAAATGTATAACCTTTTCCCAATTCAAAATATAAGTTCAAAATTAAAGTGACATGTCTTAAAAAATAAAAACTCTTAATAAATGTTATACTAAGGAATCAAATACTTTTCAATAATTATTCAGTAATAAATTACACAAAATGCCAAAGTAGATTATGAAAGAATTTTTCAAAGACATTAAGTCTGCACTAGATTATGAAAGAATTTGAAAAAGACATTAGCTCTGCACTATAAGTCTTTGCAACATTTGGTATTTCTTTTTTTTACATGTCTTTCTTGGCTTAGCATTCATCTTTCTATTGGCTTCACATCATGAACTTAGAAGTGACTCTATTCAAATGCAACGCTCTTTCACACAGCTACTGTTTGTAGTAGGGAGAAATGGGGATTTGAAGCAGTTTCCCCTTCAGGACCGGGTCAGATGCACATCGTCTTCCATCCCTTAACCCATAAACCACTGTGAACAATGATGTCACAAACGCGAATCAGATTGGTGGATTTCTAATGTTTGCTTACATCTTTTTTAACATTTTTTACTATTGTTATAGAACGCCATCAGAGTTTAGCTCTTTAATTAATGAAAATAAACTTAAATTAATTTAAAATGTGATTTATATACAAGATCAAATGGTTAAAAGAGGAAAAGAAATCACGTATGCTGCTGAACAGTTTTAAATAAAATGTTTTATGGCTGTTAAAATTTCAAACTTTGCTTTTTGGAAGGGGGAAAAAAAAAAATTAATGTTATTAATATTAATTATAAATGTTTAGAAAATATATTATAATTAATTCATATATTAAAATTTTTTTTGAATGTGTTTTACAAAGATTTTAAATGAAAGCTTATAATTTATGTTTATATTGACCAACTGAATAGCACTAGGTTTTATTATATATATATATGTATGTACTGAAATTCAGTAATAAAATTTTTAAGATATTTGAAATGATTTCATGACCATTTAGACAGTTTATATTCTTCACGCTGCGTTTTCTCAGTTTGCATTTTTTCAATAAATCCTTTTACTTGGAGTCCTAAAACTTATATGGACTAAATATTTAATATTTTTACTGCTTATTTAAAATTATATACTTTGTGGAAACAAGGATAGGTCTTGCAAAATATTGAAAAGAAAAATGATCTGAAGTGAAAATGTGATTGAGATCATATTTGTTTCATAGGTTTTACATAAAAATATGTTTTTAATTTTTCTCAGAAACTAATTCATTAATTGCAAAATCAATCCTTAAAGTTATTAAGAACTCTGTAATAAATATAATAAGAAAATTTGGGGGGATAACATTGAAAACTGTAGGCAAAGAAATACATTTTAATTGTTAAACTTTTCTTCAAAACATTTAAATAAAAAAAATTACTGGCAAAAAAAAAAAAAAAATTAAGCTTAAAATCATTTTGTCTTACAAAACCATTTAATAATAATAATAAAAAGTAGGTGAAAGTTCTTAAATAAAAAAAATTATTAAAAAAGTATCGAGTCCCCTGGTTGCGTTGAAGCCGATATCAGCATCTTTATCTTTAATTTGAACGGTATTTCTGCAATACCCAGCATCAGATAACCTTTCTGTACTTGTGTAAAATTTCCATATTTCGTACGGTTTCATCTAAATTTTTCGATGATATTGCATCCCCAGGTATCTATAAAAGCGACTGTTTTACCAAGTCCAGCGAGCAGTTCGTTGCAAGTCCGCTGTATTATTTGCTAAAATTAAGTGAAGCGCGCAATCGTGCAATGAAGTATGGGAAATCTTCCATTTGCTCTGCTCTGGAAAGGTAGGAACATTCTACCAAGTTCTACCTCCATTTCTGAGTTTGCTCTGCTTTGGAAAGGTAGGAACATTCTACCAAGTTCTACCTCCATTTCTGAGAAGCAGTTAACGCTTGTTAGGCGTGTGAATGGGACACGTTGGAAGTACTGGTTTTCGCTACCGGTCGAATCTGCTCTTGTGAACGGGGCTTATGCGATACACTCCAGCAAGGACTATTGCCATATTTTTGTTTACTCTATCACTAGAGAATCTTATTAGAAACTTTTGCGGACTCAAAAAACGCTTAATTTGTGTTCCACTGGGTTAGCGTTGTCCACGGTTTTCAAATCAAATGGCAACGAAAAGCATTTCACTTGAGCCAAAGAGGTACTTCAAGAATTTCTTTCTGAAAAGCAATTTTTAATTTCCTGATTGAACACCTATAGTTTAATATAAAAAAATGGTTATCTATTTATCTTTTCTACATAGAGGATATTGTAAAATCCATAAATTTACAATCCAATGTTAGCAGGAAAAGCATCGTGTAGAATAACATGGAAACTCTTACCCCATTGGAGTATTTAATTGCTAAGGATCTCATGAATCATTTAATCAAGTATGCTAAGATTATTTAAATATTTTAATGCTGTAACATTTTTCTTTAAAAGAGATGAATGTTTGAATCTCGAGTTAAAAGAGTAATTTCTTTGAGTTAATCAAATAAATGAAAAATCAAAGAGCTGATTCACACCTCAATGGAATTTTTAGAACTGGACAGCAAATATCAGAATAGATCCAATATCTTTACTATTATAGTGGCAATTAAATGCAGTGAACAGAAAAGCACTTTTGAAAGTTAAATAAAATTAATGATAAAAACACTGCACATAAACATAAAAACATTGTAGAGTTTGAAAGGAAATTTGCCACTTAGTTGATAAGGCTGGAAATATTATACCTCTCTTCCGCAAAAATGAGAAATGAATTTCAAATGAAATTATTTTCCATGAATATTATCATTGAATTAAAGTTCTGAAAACTTCTACTTACTATCAAAACAATTCACAGATCAAAACTATAAGTATGCTGCCAGAGTATAATATTCAGGTGTAAGCATATGCTGCCAGAGTCTTCTTGTGATATATGTGTAATAAAAATAAAAGTTGAAAAAGTGTATTCAACTATAATTGATAGTGATACAAATATTAAAATAATCAGAATGGCTATAATGAATTATAAAGTGGAAGATAATATTATGAAGCTCTTCCAAACAAATAAGCAGTATACAGTTAGCCACAAAAGTCTGCGTACAGACTAAATTTTAAATTTAAAAAAAAAAAAACAAAAAAAACAAAAAAAACACTTAAAGCATAGAAAAATGTATTTTAATCATTGCATGTTTTCTTCTATTAGCTAAAACTGTAAGCTTAAATAAAAAAGTAAATAATATCAGTTGCAATACTTTTACATTTTTCCAAAATATATTTTGTTCAAAAAAAAACTCAGAAATTCCTCCAATAAGTCTGCGTACACTTTCAAAAAAAAAAAAAAAAGCAAAATATAAGTTTTTTTACATTACTTCAATACTTTGTAGGATATCCTTTATTCTTCAAAACAGCTTGCACACGTCTGGGCATTGACTGAACTAGTTTTTCAGTGCCATCCGACATAAATTTCGCCCATTCTTCCTGCAATTTACTAATTAGCTCATTTCGAGACGTAATATTGTGTTTTCGAATTCGTTTCTCCAATTTTGCTCACAAATGTTCGATTGGACTGAGGTCTGGTGACTGTGGAGGATTACGCAACTGTCTTGGAGTGTGATAGAGGAGATATTCCTTCACAATTTTAGCTGTATGTTTCGGGTCGCTGTCTTGTTGGAAAATAAAAGTATTAGAAAGGGTTTAAATTTCGGAGCACTGTCTCGTAGAGATTTTTCTTCAGAATATCCAGATAAAACATACTTATCCATGACTTTATCAATAATGTGAAAATTTCCAACTCCTTTCGACGACATACACCACCATACCATTCACACCGCCAGCTCCATGTTTGACAGTTGGATTTAAATTTCTCAGATTCAGTTCTGTTCCTGGTTTTCTCCATACAATAGGGTGGCCATTATTAACTTAAATATTGTAAATTTACTTTCATCTGATCAAATTACATTGTTCCAGAAGACCTGCAAAAAGTTTAAATATGTTTTCGCTAAAGCAATTCTTTTCTTTCTATTTGTCTCGGAAATGTATGGCTTAGACCTAGGTTTGCGTCCATGATAATCGGCCTTTCGCAGCACTTTTCGTACAGTTTCAGGAGAAATTTCCTTGTTGCTAGTTAAAAAAATGCCTTTTGCAATGCTTGCAGCAGAAAGTTTAGGATTTTGTTTAATTCGTAAAAGAATTTTTCTTTCTTCTCTCTGCGTTAGCTTCTTCAGTCTCCCACATCTTGGTTTTACAGCAGTGTCAAGATAGTTTTGAATAACTCTCTGCACACTAGAAAATGGTTTTCCAATGGTTTTACCAATATAACGTAGAGTTTACCTTCATCTCTCAATTTGATA